GAAATGTGCTTTAGGGTCAGAGATGGATATTGCACTAATATACTGTGAGGAAATAGCAGAGCTTGATAGTAGGGAAAATGCGACAGAACTTCCAATGGGGCAAAAGGGATCGGGTCATTGATAGGAACATCTCATGGAGCAGGGAATACTTAGGGTTTCCTCAAGGAAAGACCACTGAGGGATCAAAAGCGCTTGGAAAATGTGCTGACTTATCTAGATAAGGATCCAAGATGCTGAAGCGATTGTAGGAGCTTGGCCTGAGCCGAACGCTGCAGAGGTAAAAGAGCTTTATGGATGACATGGAGGTGACGGCCCTTTAGCATGAAGTAGAACTTGGAACAAGGAAACTCTTGAGTTTGCATTTCCCACTCTTCTTTGCGTTTTTGACAATGTTTTATGGAAAACAGTAGAGGATAAACATATAGGAATGAACCTCTTTCTGTCCAGATGGGGTGAAACCAGATGGGCTCAACCTTTGGGTCGCCACGTTGCAGTCATTTCAGTCACCCACCCGCTCCCATCCCCATGCAGGTGCCCAGAAGTCTTTGTAGAAACCTTCCACCTTCTCTGAACACGACACCTTTAAAAAGGAGATGCACATTTTTGCTGGATACACTGGAAAGGGCATTGGGAGAGACCAAATGTAGAGGGCTGCCAAAGCGATCAAACCAGCCCACAAGTTCTCTTTGCTCTAGCACAACAGCTGAGACCCTAAACCACAAGATATCCTCAAACAAGAGATATTCTGGCCCCTCTGAGCCTCCAAACTGGAGCTTTCAGCTCCTTCTCCAACAGCCTCTGTGTTATTCCCATGTGTATTTCCATGTGTTTGCGTTTCACCAATGAGACTTGCCTTCATCTGTCTTGATGGCCATGCATCAAGATGGAGATGCATGATGTAGATGGCCATGAAAAATAAAACACACTAGGTCTCATGCACCAGCCACGGGGATGAGAATCAGGATGAGAATCACCAACTAGTCTGGCTTTAAGACAAGCAAATGTAAATATTGACTCAGAATCAACATGAGCCATTAGTGACCTCCCCAATGCAAAAGGTCAGCGGAAGAGACAGGCAGGTAGAAACACTTTGATTACAAGGCTAATTTTCTTAGGAAGCCAAGCAAAAGCCAAGCTAATCCTTCCTGTAGCGAATTAAAATGAAATAGCAAAAAGGCAGAGGGAAAACTCAGTGTTTCCACGTATTTCTGGGTCATCTGCTGGCCCATGATTCATCCCAGCAGGAAGGGAGGGAGCCCACAGGTCTTCTGTGTTTGCAGGTTGTATTTGGGCACCTCCCATAGCAGCTGGGGATCTTGATGCTCCCTCCTCAAAAAAAAAAAAAAAAAAGGCACTAATGATCTCAAGTTAATTATTTGCCTTATCTTCTCTGGTTACTCTGTAGCTTTCAAGAACTACTGCTTCTCCTCCAGTATTCACTCATTTTGTTGCCACTGCTTTTTCAGAATGACTGACAGTATCTACATATATCTTTTTTTTTTCTCTCTGAATAAAAGAGGAAATGGGTCTTCAGATGACTACTTCTTTATTTTAGACTTGTCGCTATGACACAGCTTCATGAGTCATTCTTTCAAAGAAGCCCAGACCCAGATCTGCTGGGAAATAGGCTTGCACCAAAGGCGGATCATGGGCTACCATCTTCTGTGGGCTGCACGTGTCTACCTGCCCCAAAAGGCATGAAGAACCAAAGGGCAACATGGAAACTCCAGGCAGAATCAATGCCTGACCTCCAGAAAACTCAGTTGTTGCTCTGTTCCTCTCCCTCTCGCCTCCGAAATAGTCAACAAAATTCCCTTAAGTATGTTATTATTTGTAATAGTCGAACATAGGAACAAAACCTGAAAAAGAATGACACCAGAAACCGTAACTTTCCTTCTCAAGAGTATTTCTTTATGCTAAAATACTCATGTTTCATTGCTGCACTGCCCATGGATGTTTCCTCCCCACGCAAATACAACTGCAGCAGAAGTTCAGAGTCCTCCACAAGCTTCCCAGAAGGAGGTGCGCTGTTGACCTTGGGAAGATACTTCAGAGAATCCCAGAATGGTTGGAAGGGACCCCCAGGGCTCCCCCAGGGCAGCCCCTGCTCCAGCAGGGACACCCAGAGCACGGGGCACCCGGGCGCATCCCGGCGCGCTGGCAGATCTGCAGAGCAGGAGCCTCCGCAGCCTCCCTGGGCAGCCTGGGCCAGGGCTCGGGCACCCTCCCACCAAACAAGCTCTTCCTCACGGGCACGTGGAGCTGCCTGCGCTGCAGCTTGGCCCCAGGGCCCCTTGGCCTGCCACTGGCCACCACCCACAAGAGCTTGGCCCTTCCTCCCTCCATCCTCCCCTCGGCTGCTTGCACACACTGACCAGGTCCCCTCTTGGCCTCCTCTTCTCCAGGCTCAACAGGCCCCACTTGCTTTGTCTTTCCTCATTAGTCTTAGTCTTTCCTCCATTTCTATCTGGCTTCATGTGAAGATGAAGGCACTGGAACATGGAAAGCCTTCCACACTCCTAGGAAAGTCTTCCTCACTCCTAGGTAGATTATATTCAAGGCTAACACCACCAGCAAGAGCTCCAGCCTTTGGTGCCTCAGCAGCATCTAGAAAAAATATGGGATACGTCGCCGAGCGATCAGAGCAAGAGCCCTGCCACTGCCTGGCCCCATGGCACTGCACAAATCCCTTACTCTTCCCCATGCCTTGACTTTTTCCCCGGAGGAATAACACTTTTCCTTCTCCTGCTGTGATGTCTAATTACAGCAAGAAGTTAGGAACTCCCAAGTGAATCCAAGTCATGATACTTCCAAGTATCACGAATGCTGCTGACCCACAGCATGGCCTTGAGTAATAAGTGACTTATCAGCAAGCTGTCACATCATCACATTTTCTTCCTCTCCTTTTACCCTTCATTTTCCAGGCCTTCTTGTTTGGCTTGCCCCAGGTCTACAAGTGTGTGATCCAAGTGCGGGGATCCCTGCTCCTATCTACCCAACATGGTCTTGGGACCGTCTCCACAACCTAGTCCCTTTGCGTCTCCTGTGTCCCTGTCAGCAGCAACAGGGAAAAGCAAAGTCTTCTCAACACATCCACCTCCTACGCTTGGAGACTGGCCAAAGGACCGGCCATGGCTTGTTGCTTCACGCCTGCGGTACCTGAACCTCTGGTGGGCTCCTCTCAAGCTTGAAAGCCTGGCATGGCTGTCGGCCACATATCTGCAGTGCAAACATTAAACCACCGCTAGGAACACAATGTTCTCACACCGCCTTGTGCAACCTGCAGTGCCCTGTGCCACGTCCCTATTGCAACATCGGCCAGCGCTATCTCCAGCTCCCACGTGCCCACATAGGGCCACCTCCCCTCCCACCAGAGCAGCAAAAATCATCAGGTAATTAATTACTGCAAGGGATAATTCGCTTCCTGCAAATGGGGAAGCAAGGAGAAAGCCCCTGAGTTTATATGACCGATAAAAAGGGATGGTGGTGGAGGGAAATGGGATTATTTATCTTTTTCTGCTTAAACCTTCTCTTGTTGCCCACCTTATTCTTGCACCAAACCCACCCCCAAGCCTTGGACTTGCATGTTTTCAATGTGTCCCCCATGAGATGTGGGTATTTGGAGGGCACCCAGGAGCAGGTCCTCACCAGAGGGGTCATGGAGCTATCTCCTGCCATGCAAGTGCCCCATAGTCCCAAGGACATCACAGAGCAGGTCCAGGAGCCACCATATGAGATGGGCAGTGGGACAAGTGGGTGGTGGGGACCTTCCCAGGGCTTTGGGCAAGGGGGTTGAGGGGAGTGGTTGAGGGAAAGCCCTTGGGAAGGGACAGAAGGGCTGAGGGAAGGGGTGAAGAAAGAGCCCATGCGGGTGACGAAGGAGGCTGAAGGAAGGGTTCAACGGGATGAAGGATGGTGCTGAGGGAAGGGGCTGAGGAGATGGACAAAAGAATGGAAAGGATGAAGGAAAAAGGTGGAGAGGATGAAGGAAAAGGTGGAAGGGATGAAGGAATGTGATGAAGGAAATGGTGGAAGGGATGAGGGATGTGCTAAGGGAAGGAGCTGAGGTGAAGGATGGTGCTGAGGAGCTGAAGTATGGTGCTGTGGGAAGAGGCTGTGGGGATGATGGATGATGCAGAGATGGGGCTGAGGGATGAAGGAAGCAGCCAAGGAGATGAAGGATAGTGCTGAGAGAAGGGGCTGAGGGAAAAGGCTGAGGACATGAGAGAAGGGGCCATGGAGATGAAGGAAGGAGCCGACAGAAGGGGCTAAGGGATGAAGGATGGTGCTGAGGGGATGAAGGACAGCGCTAAGGGTTTGAAGGCTGGTAGCGGAGGGCTCAAGGATGGTGCTGAGGGGATGAAGGAAGGAGCCAACGGCTCAGGACGGCGCCGAGATGAACGATGGCACCGAGGGGGAGAAAGGGAGGAGCCAAGCATGAAGGACGGCGCTGAGGGAAGGAGCCGACGGCACGAAGGAAAGAGGCGAGGGGACGAAAACAGGAGCTGAGGGAACAGGAGCCGAGGGTCTGCAGGCTGGGACTGAAGGGCGCAGGGAGGAGACGGAGCCAAGGCTGGCGCTGTGGGCACAGGGATGGCGGCGGCGCGGGAAGGCGCCGGGGCGGGCGCCATGGCGGCGGCGACCTTGGGGGAAGAGGAAAGCGGCGGCGCTCTCTTTCCGGTTCAGTTTTCACTTTCTGTTTTTTTTTTTTTTTTT